AGGTAAGTGGTATTACCCTTTCTAGAAATGTTGGAAAAATAAATTATTCTTTCACTTGTTATTGTAAAATTAATTTATTTGAAATCTAAGTGTTTTTTTAGCTATTTCCTTGTGGTATTTCTTTTGGAATGCATTTACTTATTTATGTGTATATTTATTTATCATTTTTTTTTAAAATAAATGTGGATTAAGCATGTTGGTTGTCAACTATTTGAGATGAGGGGTTTTGATAGTTTTGTGATATAGACTTTGGAATTGAAAATTTATTTGAAATTAAGGTAACTTGTTTTGCATAGAGTAGTTGGGCAATCCTATCTCGAGGGTTTCTGATGGTAACTGTTTGAGTTAGGAATCATTTTAGATTATCGTACTGTAATAGATTATCAAACGGTAAACAGTGTTAGACTATCAAATGGTAAACTGTGTTAGACCATTGAATTATTCATTTTCTATTTATTTATTTTGTCATAAGAGAGTATCAAATGACAAACCATGTTGGATTACCTATCAGTTGATATTCATGTGCCACAGCCATGTGGGATTGAGAAATTGTTTTGCTGATGAGTTTCTTTATATTTGTTTCATCCAGTATAATTTTATTACTTATTTTCTATCACTTTTTAATTAAGATAATTGTGTTTGGTTGTACTAATTGGGTATGCTACTTATTGGGCATGTGAAGCTCACAATGTTTTATTTAATGTTTTCAGATACTGAACATGGAGCATCTGGGATGCATGGGAAATAGAAAGTCACCTTAGAAATAGATTATTTACTTCTTTCCTATTATGTTTAGCATTTCATGGACATTTGAAACAAAGAGATTTTATTTTAGTGTTAGTTACACTTGAGATTCTTGGTTTAGAGTTGGCTTAGATGATGGATTATTATTATTGTTATTATTTTTTTTTTTACCATTAATTTTCTTTAAAGTGAAGAATAAATTTTATGCAAGCTGCATGGATGAATTTTAGAGATTGACTTGACCTTACATGCTTTTGGGGTCACTCATAAAGGTATGTGACATTGTCATGTCCTAACCCAAGGTTGGGGCGTGACAGTTACTACACCCTCTCCGAAATAAGAATCTTAAGAATTATTGTCTCATAATTTGTGCATATGTGTGTAAGATTGTAAGAATGTATCACTAAAGCACATAAGCAAGTACGTTGCAATTACGTTGCAATATAGTTGCTTATATTGTCCGTATTTATTTTCTTTTAAATTTTGAATTGTGTTTAACATTTGTTGATATATAGTTATCTTTGTATTTGTTTATTCATTTTTGAAAAGTGGTGTGGATGTGTTGTAAATATTAAATTTAGTGTTTAAGAAATATATTTTAAAAATTAAGGTAAAATGTATATTACTTAAAAAAATTGAATTAATTAAAAAAGATTTATACTAATTAGTACAATTTGATTTTCTTAAATTTACTATTAGTTTCAATACAAATAACAAAAACGTAAATTCTCAAGCAGATTTGTAAAAATTATACTGTGCAGATCATAAATTATTACAAATTACAAATTGTTAGTCAAATTAGCTAGTATGAACAAAATAAAGTTATTTGTTACCACTAACTTGGACGATATAGAAGAAGATAAATTAGAAATTGTTGATCTGTTGCCCTTGAAAGATGCAAAAATTCCTTGTAGGTGGAAAGAAATTAACGTGAAAGTGGCAGTTTTTGAAAGGAAACATGATTAGGGATTTAGGTATAATTGTTGTTGTAATTGAAACTCAAATTCAACCTAGTTAGGGTTGCTTTGACGAAAAAAAGAATCATGTTTAGACGAGGCTTTATTTGTCAAAGTTTCTAATAGATCTTTTTCATATAACACTTTACTTAAAAAGGTAAATTTTTTATTTTTTTAATTAATTTTTATATATTTTTATTAATTTAAATTAATAATTTATGTAATTTTGATGGCAAAAAGACAAAAGACCTACAACTACAATAGAATGCAACATAACATAGCACCACCAAACAAAGCCTAACATTGCTTGTAATCGACAGCCTTCCTGCCAAGAGAGAAGACCTTCTTCAAAAAGGAATTTAGTTTTTGGATAAATTGCAAGGAAGAATGGATTAAAAAAATATATATGTCAGACTAGACAAATAATGAAATAATAATGGATTTTTTTGAATAGAATAAAATTTAATAACATAGCTTGTGAATGTTAAAGTTAAAATTACAATGTCATATTTACAATATTATATAAGATTATAAACTTATAATTATAACTTAATACTAAATA